AAGGGGCTGATAGCGAAGAGAGAAAGCGGGCGAAATAGAGGAAGAGAGAGAAAAAAAAAAAAATACAGCGAGGGTGGGAAATAGGCGGGTGACTTGCGCGGAGAGTATGGGTTGGATTGCATCGCCGGAGGCTTCCGCAGCTTCGCTCGCCTCTCGATACATGACATGTAAATTCGTGCCGCGGCGAAGTCCTCCTTTTTTATTCTGCATGCTCGCGTCCTTTCACCGAACCTTCCTCGTGTTTTATATCCCCGTCGTTGCACTCGTCCATGGAAGGGCGACCGATACTCGTGAATGCGCTACGTGACTCTTGTCTCGCAGCGAAACAAAGCTTAAACAGCGATCGCTGTATAGCTTTTGTTGTGTATTCGTTTGTGGGTATGTGTGTTTTGGTCTTTCGGCTTCTAAAAGCATACGCGTACCGACCAAACTCGTGGAATGTCGCAAGAATTGTTTAACAATCGGCTTTGTGCATCGATTTACTTTTTCCCGACACGATTTCGAGGTAACAGAAATAATCACTGACAAGGACGATAATTGCACAGAAAAAAAATAAGGTCGCATCAACAGCACTCGTCTAAAATTGCATCTTGTTAATTCAACATGAGTATTAATAAAATAAATATGATATGCTCTTGTTTCAATTGATATCGTTGTTGAATTAACCAGATTTATTCCAATCGAACAAATGCTTCGTGCAATATTACTTTTTTTACATATAGAATTTTTTATGGAAAATAAATAATGTGGATATGCTATGTGTTTACACGAGCAAAATACTAACAGCGTAATAATTTTCAATTATAAAATTAAATTTCAGTTAATAATCACAATGCAATATGAAGCAAACAATTTACCGGCGTATCGCGGAACAATCAATGGGTCGCATATCCGAAAATTTTTCCCGCGAAGCTGTAATCTTACTTTATCGTTCGTGCGAGATCTAAATTCCCTTCCTACTCATACGGGAAACGAGCGAGCAATTCTCGTTTCTTAGGGTCGTGGTTTTCGAGGTCGCGAGGAGGCGAGGCGTGAGATCTTAAGGCGGAATTAGAGGTAGCGAGATTAGAAGGTTGCCCGGGATATTCGCGGGGCTGCAGAACGGCGCCCGTCATCGTACATATCCACCCTCTCTCTCTCTCTCTCTCTCGCCCTTGGATTTTCAAATATTCATTTTCTCATACCAACCACCCACGAGTGCATCTGCTCCCTTCCGATTCGGCGCCGCAACCGCCGCTACCATCGTCGGGGGATGCAACGGATTACGCGATAATACCGTAACACTTATATCTCCCCGAGGCCCGAAGGTGTCTTAAGAGTTAGAGAGATGACCTCGCAGGAGCGCTGTCGTACGGAAAAGTGGGACGCGTGTTAGCGGAGGGACAATTTTTCTAGCGGTTAAAATAGTATATATATATATAGTCAAACTTCTATCCATTGTTTTCTTTTCCATAGAACTAATTATGATTTTGACAGATGGAATATATTCGTTCGGAGTTGTGATTTCTCCCGATTCTTCCCGACTGATTGATCTCATCTGCCAGCAATCGTTACAGGCGATATCGTGAAGGACGATAGAGCGTGCGGGCTTTCCATTGTCGAGCCGTGTAACGAGGGGCAATTTTTGCAGCGGCGAACAATATGTCGCATTAACGTATTGTGCCGGCACGACATCGACTAGCTGATGCTATCATGCGACCGGTATCGCAATCCCGATGCTGCGCGATTTGCATCTCGTGAAAAGGGCGAATTCTCGCGTATTCGAGTCGCAGAATCTAGAATATTTTTATCTCATTCGCGCAATCTCGGAAATAAAATTAAACAGTAGGGAATTAAATTACGCGGGAAGGATGATTTTATTTTCTCGCAATAATTCGTGAAAAATTCGTCATAGTCGAGTCGAAAATTCGCACGGTTCTTAAATAAACATCCGATTCTACGGGAAATTGACACTTTGGCTGTCGATTCGGGAACTCCAATGAATTCGAAGGCGTCCACGCGTTTCCTCTTGCACACCGTGTACCACTTTTGGCCGGGAACCGCTCTGAAAACAATCACTCGCCGGCCGCGCAAATAGTAGCGGCGGTTGGTTGGTCTCTTCGGGGCTTATTTGCCTATGCAAATCGCCAATCAACGGCGTTTCTCTGCAGTTCTCTTTCCCACCGGCATTCGTTTCAAGGCGAATTTACACGATTCGTTTTCGTCGAAAAAAAAAGTGCGATATAAACACTATCATTAAGCGCGAATAATGTTCCATATTGAACAAATTTAACTTCCTTCTTTTTAGTTCTACCTTGTCATTTACGCGCGAAACGACTTTCTCACGATTCTTCTGGCGAGCTCGAAAAAAAATATACATTCTACTGTCAGCTCGTCCTTCCGCGTGTGCGTTTTTTCCTCTCGTCCGTCTTTCTCGGATCCTCCTGCATTCACTCGCGCAACGCCCTTTAACTCAAACGGTAGTGCATTTTTCACGTCAAAGCGCGTTTTTCATATGCACGTGACGGGGACGCAAAAACAGACTGGAAACGCGCGCGTTTGCCAAGTATTGTCGCCGGAGACCACGACAAAGGCTGAAATTACAATTTAAGCTCGAGGCTGGGACGCGCGGAAAAGTATGTCCACGAGATAATTCGAGTTGGAGATAATAGTATTTTCGTTGTATTCCGTTTGCGAACAATAGCGTTCTAACACGGGCAAACAAATTAAGTTTCCGTCAGATTTCAAGGCCTCAATACGGACGATATTAAAAAATGAAGTTTGTTGAAGAAAATATTGTTTTATCTTATGAAATAATTCGCGCACGACGAGAGAAAATATGGCGCCCGTTGTACATTACGAAATTTCTGCTCTATATGTATCGGTGCGTTGAGCGCGACTTCGTGTTTTGGTAAATGCGATATTTGCGATAGAGCCTGATTTTGCGCCATGGATACGCGGATTTCGAATATCAGATTAGCGCGAGACATCTCGCGAATCTAATTCCGAAACCACGAAACAGCACGGCTTCGCAGTCACGAACGCCGCCGGCAGAATTCTATTCATTAGGAATGAGGAAAATGGATTAAGCATCGACTGTTTCGAACTTATAAAGGACACTATCTCGGCGTATTACAGGCGACGGAATCCTATTTCGGATACAAAGTGCCCTTGTTGGCCAACGATGTAAGTTATTTATACAAATCGCAAATTACACGTCATTTTGTCACACTTTTTCCGCTGAAAATAAGCGATTTAAAAAGAAGCGAGAGAAATTTTTTTATTTTGCGAAGCCGTGACAGCGTTAGATTTTACATAAGCAAATTTCTTTCCATCTATTTTAATTCGTTTACTTTTGACAAAGTTATCGCTTATCGATGGTAAAAGTTGACGTTTCTCCCTGCATTTCTACGTATGTGACTTTGATAGCTTTTCGTTTCGCTGCTTTCCGTCCTGAGCTGTAACAATATTATCTTTGCAAGTCATTTCAATTGGCACGGTCATGTATAGTTAAAACGATAGAAGTTTGGTCGCTCAGCGGTTCCCCACTTTGTCCCGCTGTTAATTAATTTTCGCGCTTCGGGCGTTGAGCTGAATGTCTTATAAAACAAGCCGCTTAAAGCTGAGACGTTAAATAACACTAAGTAATAAGAAGAAAAATACGTTTAATCGGTAAATCAATCGTTTTTATATCTTATTCCGATACCTTTTCAAATAATCCATATATGATGATGTACTTTATTGAGTATAGAAAATATACACAGAGTTAATCACAGTATTGATACAATACACGGTTCGATGAAATCCGTTAATTAGCTGTTCGCAGCCTGAATACTCGCAAAGGCGCATTTTTAATTAGTTTCCTGCCTCTGTATATGCAACCGGGAGTCCGGATTTACGTTTTTGAAGCGTTGGATATATAAGAGGCGGTGCGCTGGCAAATATTTGCGCGAACGTTGATGAAAATATGTGGCATTTGAATAAGCTGCCTGGTGAGAAATAGAAGCTTGCGCGCCGCATCGTTCTTATAATAACAAAATATTGCTGAAAAACAGTGTTATCCAGCCAAAATTTAATATAACATCCCCCCTTTTTGTTCCTCGCGGATATGCATTTGATTACTGAATATTTTTTACTCCTAAATTGTTACAAGTCTACAAGTGTGACATGAATTCTAATAATATTTGTAAGAACCGCCGATCATCAATCAAATTGATAAATAACAGTTAGAAAAATTCGCGCAATATCAATCACTCCAATATATTATAAAATACATTCCCAACTACTGCAAAGGACTTAGAAATTACGCGGCTGGATTGCGCCGACAGTGCTACTCACCTCACCCCGTTAGATTCGCAAAAGGCGTAAGCCATACAATAATCCACGCGAAATCTCAGATCTCGCGGATTTATATGACTGTTAGCACTTTTCATCCTTAAGAGAGATATAGTTTCGCCGTCAGCGCTCCGAGGCCGACGGCGCGATGTTTGTCTTCGTTTCATCGTCGTTACATAATCATTGCTCGGGAGGACGCCCCGACGTCTCCTTCGCTCGCCGTCTCTCGCCATCCACTCGCTCGCTCGCTCTCCCTCGTAACGGCGAGTTCTTCCCGCGATACATCCGGAAACGGATGGAAAACGGAAAGAAGACAAACAGCGGTTGCCTAGGGCGGATGATTAATTTCCCCGAGCGCACTCGCGCGCCTAGCTTCCCGGGAAAACTGGAAGCTGCATATTTTATATACGCGTTAACTCGTCGCGTGGCGAACTTAATTTCCAGCGAATTTCATTATACCTTTCGTTTATTAGGATCCCTTTAATACGTCGGCCGCGGCACCGACCGTCGGGGATATTTAATGACGTTAATTTCGACTGTAATCGTGAACAGAAATGCGAATGGCTCTCAGAGGCGGACGTGGGCGCTTCGGTGCGCCCTGATAGAATCGTGATTTACATTTGTGTACAGTTTATGAAAATTACAAGATATAAAATTATGCAGGAGGATAAAAGGGACATTTTAAAAGTGTTATAATATTATATCATAATAAACATTTGTTTGTGCATTTGTGTATAAGTGTTTATTTACGGAGTTAAATTTCGAACTTTCTGGCTTCGGAAATTTTATGGACGCTATTAACAACTGTATCGCTCTCATGCTGCGAGAGAGATAAGCGTCGAATAGTAAACGAAACGGTTTTACTTCGTATTTACTATCATCGTTACTTTTTATCGGCAAGTAAACTTTGGCGTATATACATCGACATGCAAATGTGTCTTCAGCCACAACAGCAAACAACTATGTCTTCTATATTTTTTTTTATGGTACATGCATATTTGCTGTGTACGTTTTAAAGCTATTAAATTACATAATCTATAACAATTAACATATTTCACGATAAAAATATTATTAAAATTAACGTAAATACAAAATATTATATCTATTAAGTTATTCCTGTAACTTTTACGTTTATAAAGGAATTTCCGATTGTATAACGTAAACGATATATTTTGAACTGAATCGATAGATATATTTGATAGATATCGAATATAAAAATTGTTTCAAGTACATAATACATGACGGGATTCACATAAGCTACTTTTTACTATCATTGCTGAATGTAATATGTCATATCTTCGCCGTGCTGTTTATCTCTTGAGCACAGATATATAATTACATAACAAAAAATACGATTATTAATGATATAAGTGGAATTATTAACCTACAACAAATCACGTTGGCATTACCGGACTTTTTTTCTGGTTGATCCGGTATTTCCATTGATACGTTAGGCATCAATGTCTCCCAGAACTCCATTCTGTCCGACAGGAAATCGGTTTCCACCACAATATCCGGCGTCTTGTTGAATCTCATGAACTGATGACGATCGCGGTAATCGGGCCATGGATGTCGGGTAAAGTTAAACCATGGCAACCACGCTCTTGGCACTCTGTAAATATGTAATAATCATTATGATCATCCGGGAAGAGATTATCCGGTCATCACCGGTCGAAATGTCCAAGTGATTTGATATTCCGATCTGTTTTGAATGAATCATGTATGTATGATGAAGTGGAAACTGAGCGCAACACTTTGAACGAGAAACTTTGATTTTCGAAAAATTACGAGCGAGATCGTTATCTGAATTCTTAAAGTTCATCCACGTTGTGTACATTGATATCGTACACTGATATCGTTGTGCAGGGAAATTAAGTCTCACATCTTTGATAAGAATATTTAATAAGAATTTATAAGAATATTTCTGAATATCGCATAATGCTGTTAATCATATTTACCCTTCTTTCGCGAAATTGGCCCACATTTCTGTCATGATACTAATTATAGTAATATCGTCCATCGTATTGTGCAGCAACCAATCTTGATACTTAGCATTTAATACGGGAAATAAGTAGTTCAGATCATCAGAGTGACTAATACCTTCGAATAGATTATTAATTTGAATATGCAGTAAGCGTCTTAAATAAACTTAATCTTAACTTATGATGACGTACCGTAATGAAATTGTTTGCCCGAAGCGAGGGTAGTCGAAAATGTGCCCTGATATATGAAGTAAGAGAAGTAAATACCGGATTTTGCGATTTTCGACTGATATTGTAGCGCTTGAAACGTTGGCCATATTACAACTGCGTCGCTAAGCATCTGAAAAATCATTTCATCATTAAACGTTACTCCACACATTTGATTCGTTCTCAAACTTACGTTTGTGATGTGCTGCTTAAAATCCAACGTCAAAGTTCCGTTGAAGTAAAAATCCTCTATCGCGGCGGCGAGAACGCTGGTGTTAGAAATGTGTAATTGACTTTCGATAAAATAGGGCAAGTATTCTTCGAAATTTTTTATCATTTCATTCTCAGCGCCCTCATGTATGTAGAATTCTGAGACAGAAAGAAGGATATGAGTGTCACAAGATCTTTTTATTGTGCTTTGAAATTTTATTATCCTTAAATTTATTAAAAATAATTTCTTCCTCAAAACGGATATCGTTCACATAGCACTTTAAACGTGAAATGGGAGTCTTAAATTTACTAAATATGTAAATTTAATTAACGTAATAATATAAATTATAACTATATTTCTTTTGCTTAGGTAAACTATCTGACGTTAATTAATTCAACTTGGGCGAGAGCTTTAATTAATTAAATATTATTATGAGAAACGATAACAAAGCAATTACCGAGCGTCTTCTTCAAACCTTCATCTTTCACGACTTGCATTATTGCTGGTATATCGCGAAACAATCCATTCTTCAATGCAACCATCGGATGTATCGTCACGATAGCATCTTCCGAGTCAGCTTCCAATGTAGGGCCAAAGATACAGATCGGACTATACATCGAAACTACCTAATACAAAATAATATAAAAAATTAGCTACTACTATATATATGCGAATATATCAACATTTTTGTAGCCCTTCTGACAGCACTTACAAAGTATTCTGACATTTTTCCTATCTTTTTCGCATCGATTTTTCTCATGCACTTCATCATCTCTTCATCATTCTCCAAATTATAATTATCACTATTGTGTATCGCAGCGTCGTAGAGAGCGTAATTTCTGTTCTGATTTTCCTCCTCATAATTTTGGGTGGTTGTCTCATTTAACGCGATTATGTCGTCATTTTCTTCCGGCAGGCAGCCTACAAGTCTCGCCACTTCTAGACAAATTTGTCTATACGGTATACTTGGTTGCAAAGCCCATGGACTTAAAGCGGAGCCGCTGTGCAAAATGTACTTGTGGAAGAGTCCTTCGGTTTTACTCGTTAAAGAGAGCAGATGAATTATCGCAGCACCGGCACTCTGTCCCATAACAGTCACCGATTCGGGATTTCCATGGAAGCTACGAATATTCTCTTGTATCCATTCAAGAGCCATTTTTATATCTTTCACACCATAATTGCCTGGTGAGGCTTCATTTGTCGTGCTAAAAAATCCTAAAGTAATGGATCTCTTTTTATTATCACGATCCACCTTGTTTGATTATTCGAGTTATTTTAAATAATTTGTGTTATTTCTTACTTTTACAATCCTCTTTTTCTATCTTTAAATTTATCGCAATGTTGCACGCGTACGTTTAATATGATGAAAGACAAGAAATTGACATTGCTATTTTTCTCACCTAAAATATTAAGTCGATAATTCACCGTAACGAGAATCACGTCCTGCTCTGTCAAGTAATCAGGCGCGAGCTCCGTGCTATTGTTGCTGCCGACGTGATATTGACCGCCATGTATGAAGACTAAAACCGGCAATTTTGTCTGTTGCAGGTCCGATAAGTTCATAGATTTCTGATAAAATTACGGAATGATAAAACATTTCTATATTTAAGTAAATAAAAAGACGAAATATTTAACAAACATTGCATCAAACATTTGACATAAAAACCACTGAACTGTAGTCATATTGCATTAACAACGTAACCTTGATCCGTTTGAGTTGAATTAAGCCGCCGGATGATCTCGTGATCTAATTAAGTTTTTGTTTGTTCTTGAAACATTATCACTCTTTATTCGTTTCAAACTTTGAACAAATGTTGCGCGTTATATGCTAATTATTTATTCATGCAATTATGCTACATTAAATTTGCTACGCAAGAACTGTAGTATTCATTTTTCGCTGCTAATCTTATTACTATATTAATTCATATATTAATAAATTAGCATCAAGATATGTAAATATATTCAACATTCATCAAGGTTATGCTGTCATTGCGATATGACTGTAGTTTATTCTCTCATGTTGAACGTTTTGTGCGACGTTTGTTAAATATTTTGTGTCATCTTTTTTATGTTGAAACAAGTGTTGAACACTTTCATTTATAACTTATCGGCTTAATGTCTGCTATATTACACATTTTGATTATCATTGATATTAACAAAAAATGGTAACATCTATACTGACTTACAGCGGGAATGAAGATATTTAAGTAAAGACAATCCTCGTTGCCAACTACTTCGGACATGCTTTTACTCCATTGAATGCATTTTGGTCCATCGGCTACAGCAGTGGTAATATGCATCCACGGACGATTCCATCGCTGTGGACTCTAATAAAAGATTGCAACTTTTAACTATAACTAATTAAATTTGCTAACAAATTTGTGAAAAATAAAAAAAAAGAATTATCCACATCTTTACAACAGATCAGATGGGTAAAGCTATTTATTCTATGTGCGTAAATAAAAGCAAGGAGACAAAATAACACGCACGTACGCATAAATCGCGTGTAAAATACACACCTTGAATCTCAGATCACCCACCGGAGGTAGCGCATACGGTATCCCGAGAAAATTCGCGATTAGCCGATTACTGCGCACTCCGTTACTCTTGGTCCACTTGCCGTAAATCATGCCCCATTTTGTAACGACCAGGGGCTGAGAAGTGCTGAGAAAACCGCCGGCGACGATAAAAAGAAACGCGAGGATGCATACGCACCGCCAGATCCTTTCATTCGAGTGAGGACATTTCGTCAGCGCAATGTAACGCGCACCTAAGGACTCACGTTGATGCATATTCGACGAGGGATGCTGCGTAACGATGGGAGCGCGTGTCGTGCGCGTGTCGTGCGCGTGTCGTGCGCGACTAACATACGCAAACTGACTGAAACACAGCTTTTATACAACCGCGAGAAGTGTTACGATAGCATGATCCCAGTGTAATACGTTTCATTTGCACACGTTTATGATGTATGTACTAATGCTGAGCCGAGCCGAACAATTATTAAAAAATCATGTTTGATACACATTAATGATAATTTAACTAATTGCAAATTGTAGTAAGATTACAATGATTGCAATAAAACGAAACAAATATATACACGAAGTAGATATAAACAAAAGTTTTCATAATCTGAAAAGAGAGCAAGTCATACATACTACAGAGCGCTTAGATAAAGATAATTACTTATACTTAAATAATTATGTACGAATTAATGCCACAATCCGTAAGAAATAAGTGAAATCGTCTGAATTTGTTGAAGATTATTTAAAATTCTCTAAACATTATAACATGCATATAACGATTTGGAAGATACAATATTAAAATGTAGTATGTTAGAAAGAAAGAAAAGAGAAAGATAGTAGATGTGTTAATGGAGATGAGTTTATGATTCAGTAATTGCTTATTCAGATAAAACTAAAAATTATAAAAGTTAAAGAAAGATAATCTCTTAACTTTAGGCGCTGAGAAAATCTTATAATAAAAAAATTTGAGTTGGAAGAAGATAAACACAGGAAGACTGATATATGACGTAATGTGACATAATGTTTGAAAGATCACGAAGAATCCACTTTGATATCAAGGAATTTAATATATGAAAATATGACGGTAGTATAAGACGATAGTACAAGATGGCTATTGTTTCACATAGCAAATTATTATATTCAAGTAATGGGCATGAATGTTCCATGAGTAATCCTTATTAAAGCAATTCGCCACTTTAGAGACGAGTTTAATCACGAAGTTGAGCTGCTACATTCGTGCATCAATAAACTAGTCGACTCGAGCAGTTAATTTATCGGCTTACGAAAGATTCTCAATAAATAAGCAGACAAATTTTAAAATTATTCAAATAATAAATATTATATTTACACAAATATTGGTAACGTATCTTTAGCAACAGCTGTGTGCTAAAGATTAATAGATTTAGAAAGATCAATCGCAGGTGTACGGTATGTTTGTATCCGATATTTATTATTTAGGTAAATCTAAGTTACAATTGGTTTTCTTTGTCAGTGATCGAATGACTTGTAATTTGTAATTGTAATTTATTGTTATCTTATTTACTCATATCACAACACATGCGTAATTACGAAACTGTTGATACTCAAACAAGCTGATAAGCACGTAGATTACTTAAATCATAAAAAATTTATCTCCAAAATCATTGACAAAATTGCTAGAAATTATTTTTGCAAAGACGACAAAGAATTCCATATTTATTATCGATTAAGATTAAAAAAACAATAGTAAAATGATATTATTTTTTCGCACTTATTTCTTTGAAAGTTAAGTCTTTCACGTAGGAAGTGATTAAATATTCCGCACTCATCTCGGTGTCTTTATATTATTTATTCATAAGCAGGATCTCTATCAACCATGACGTATTATTAAGCGAGGGGTAATGCGGCTTTTGGCGGAGCTTAGCTACATACTGTACATTATTATAGATGAGCAACTTAACCTGGGTTACTCGCAACCATTCCATTATTCAACGTGTTGCATTTTAGTTCTCTGCCGCGGCATTATTTCGCAATGTTAACAATCGCGGGGAGTTATTTGGAACTCAAAGTAATAAATATTTTACAACAATTGTCGCAATTATATCGTGAGATAAAATAAAGTTATTTAAAATAATACATTAAGTCTAGAAAATATATATTAATGAAGACTTTTTTTTTTTATGCTACTAATAATTTATCTCGTATTTTAAAAACTTTGAAAAATTAAACACAATAAAGTTTTTCATTTTCCTTATTTTCTTAATTAATTTTCTTTAATTTTCAAGAAATTGAGTCAAGCCGCTGCTGCATTAATTTCTTTAATTTTGGAGAGATGACGAGGATATTTTTGGACACCTTGGCAAGCATCTCAAATAATGTCACTCGTTTCGTCTCAAATCTCGAAACCTGCTGCGCAGGATACTTTGAGGAGTGATCGTTCTTTATTTACCTCAAGTCGCGCGACCGTCTAATTCGGATTTCACCGGCACTCTTACCGCATCCCGTGGGTTTTCTTCTTGGTTTTCTACGTCGACCGTCGCCGCCGTCGCCGTCGCCGCCACCGCCGCCGTCGTGGCGGAGGATCCACTTCCGCCGACGGTGGAGGTCCTAACAATTTCCTGACAAGGGGCTTCCCTCGAGAGTTTCCGGTCCGTTTCCGCGCGGAATCTCCACGGCACCTTCACTCGTTACGCGTCGTTTGCCGAGCCGTTTATCTCCTCGTCATTAGTTATGCCGTGTTACTTGGCCGTAGGTTCCCGCCAGTCGCAGCTCCTCGTTTTTTCTCTCCATCTATTTCTTCTTCTCTGATTTCTGTAATACAAGCTAAGATAGAGAACTATGATAGAATGTCGAATATGCCAAGATTGATTCAGAAACGCGACATTCGATTTTTTTTTTTTAAATTTGTTTATATGTACAATCATAGTTTAAAAAACTCTAACGTCATTGAGACTTAATTTCTGTGTAGAATGTTAAAGAGACAAATACAAAGTAAGAATTAATTTGACATTCACTCGAGTGTCGAAGTCTTATTCTTCACGTAACGGTGAGCTTAGAGTAACAGGAAGGAGCGAATCGAGTAGCCGAATGTCCGTGTGATTTAATATCAGGTGTCTCAATGTTCACGTACACGTCGTGTTTGATTAAAGGCGAACACTGCGCTGGATTATGCATTCATCTATTTGTCGCGTCGTGGACTAATTGCAGCACGCAGTGCAGTCATGCATCATGACGGCAAGAACCGTCCGGAAATAGTGCCGCGCTTGTCCCGGTTTACGAGCTCTGTTTGTTCTTTGATAATATCACCCAAGTCTCTCGCAAATGCTTTATTCCGATTTTCTACATTGTTACACATATTGAAAACTCCATGTTGTACCGTACGCATCATTAATATTGTCGGATGTAACCGCAGTGATTTCTTTTGTGCATTGAATTATGAATTTTGTTCAAATTGCTCAACAATATACGATTAAATATCATAATTGAAATATTTACATTTTATTGTTATTTAAATTATTCACTTGCATTCAACATGGATGCTTTTAAATTAGAACCTTTTTGTCAGTAGCGCACTGCATATTTAAATAAAGAGAGAAAAGTGAGAGATACGTAACTTTGATCATAAATGCATTATAATAATGAAATATAAACTGTGTATTTTCGAGCGTTAATGCACGTCGCTTGTGCTTTTAGAGACAAGACAATGGAGAGCGTGGCTTTTATTGCAGCCGCACGGTAAATCTCACGGGAATCGTGATGACACATTTGCGTAACGAGACGATTTTCAGGGACGAGTCGGCCGCAAATTTTTCCGCGGTGCGATGTTGTCATCATCGCGCGATGCAGAATGCATTCCGCGTTAATTTGCAGAGTATCCAAGCTGGGCTAGCAGCAGCTCGGTGATCGGTGTCGTTCGTACTGGCGTAAACATTTTCGTTTTACATGTTTGCATGGCGACGACGGCTTTTGCCGGAGTTCATATATCGTGCACAATTACGTCGATAATACTGAATTTAATATAAACGTCATTGTGCACACTCACATAGTTGCGCGATTATGAATTTACTGCCGATGCAAAATTACATCGTAATACGTCACAGGGATAAACGCGGGATATGCATTAAATGTCGCGAAACAATGAATTAACCGGCGCAAATGGTTGTTACCGTGAAATTATTAATTGTAATGTTATTTATCGGCGCCCGAGCCTCGCTTTGCCCCGTCTTCGTAATGCGCCGTCTGTGTTTGCACGACAGCATTATTATGCATTCCGGTCAAATATCCCGTTACTTTTTTTTTTACTGTTGTGGTTTTATCCTCGTTTTATGCCGCCGTTGAAAAGCGCACGTTCCTGTAAAGGAATTACGGACAAAGGGAAAATGAGAGCGCTTGGTCAAATGAGAACCATACGTCTTGTTTTTCCTTCTTTCTGCGGTCTAAAAGGAAATTTGGTTTGAGGCAAATCGCCGGCGAAGAAATACGAGACTATAATAAATAGAGTAATCTTCTTTTTGTTTTCACATTTCGGTGACTCGTCAAGTCAAAAGGATCACGCAATTTAGAGTTTCCTGTGATTCGAACTTTGTGATTGTATTAATACACAGTACGGTGGATATTGCTTTGTATCTCAAAATAAAATAAATTTTTATTGAATGTACGGAATGAGCTTGAAATCTTGTCCCAAAGTTTGCAAGCGCGTATTTGTAAAACTAATAAAACAGTTCTACAATTAAATCTGAGTTCCAAAACTATCATCTTTTGAGATACAGCTGCACGCTGATATTTCCGATTGACTTTTTATGACATCGCAGGCGCGTCACTGCGCGTTACTGCAATTCTTGAGTATTTTACATTCGAGTAAAGTGTAAGAAGCAAATAAAGACGATTGAGTGTTCTTTCATCGAGAATGGGACAATTAGAGAAAACCTCTTAATAAAGTCTGCGAGCAAAGTATACGTTTCTGTTTGCACGACCATAAAAAAAGTGCATGTTTGCACATGTCTATTTATCCTGCATTTTTAGCACAGTAACACAATATTAGAATTAAGTGGCAGAGAGAAAGAGTATAGAAACACCACTTTTCTTGAACATCTGACAAACTAATATTATAAGTACACAAATATGTTTATCTTACACGGGAGAAGATCAAATAAAGAGAGAGAACTGTTGATAAAACTCCTTTACATTCATTCTACAATATTTTCCATATTCATTTCGAAGCCTCGCGTATAATTTACGCTATAGCTAAAAGTGGCTGTATCTTAAAAAGTAATAGTTCAGAATCTATATCTATTAGAATTTTTTGTTAGTTCTAAGATGTGGAATACGACTGCAAATTTGGCAATAGCACTTCGGACTTACTTTATGTACAGG